TTTTTGAGTCACTAATGATACTTTTAGGCGCTCGAAGTAGGCCTCCATTTGTTCTTTAGTATTTTCTGCACGGCTACGCTTTAAATTTTGACTGTATTTTTGTTAATAAGTGTTTGTATCTGTTTACCAAATTTTGAGAAATGAAATTTTGAAACGACAAAAATTAGTATGGATATGAACGATTATTTATATTTGTTGATCTATAAATACGTTAACTTTCTCATTCATGTTCCAACATGAGGGTTCACGATGATTCTGCCAGCGACGGAGGTCAGCGGTTACCTAGCAATTTTGTAATACGAGTTTCCAGCCTACGCAGATAGTTTTAGGCAAACTTCCTAAAGTAAATCACCAAGCCGAACTTGGCAACCGACAATACGTTGTTAGATTATCAAAATGATGTCAAAATATTATCGAAAAAACACTAAAAAATATTTAACAGTGCGAAAGTCGTGAGTTTTGCTAATTTGAACATCAACCAATTTTTCAAAGAGCATACTAGTAGCAGTAGCAGCAGTAGTAGTAGTAAAAACTCCAATATATTGATTTTTGATTCTAAATTGTGAAGGATCACTTTTATATTTAAATGGAATGATATTGAAAGCACATGTGACTTCGCAAATGAGTATCAAACAATAAAACTTTGGAAAACTGTTCCTAAAATTGCTGAATTCTTGACAAATACTCATTGTTAAACTGAAGCAGTGAGCTGTCAATAGTTTTATTTGAGACGGTGAGGAACCTCTGTAACATTAAAGAGATCTGTCTACAACAACAACCTTTTCTAATAACCCTCAAAAATTGTTTGGAACACCTCGTAATATTTTCCAAGAGCTCACTTTATTCGTATACCGCTATGTATACGACAAAGTAATTAAAACCATCGGTAATTAATTGTTTTATCGACGTTTTTACGGTTTTTACTGGAATATCCTGCCTCTCTGAAACTATTCGTGATATATCAGCCCCATAAACAATTAACTAATGATGTAGCTGACGAGCGGCGAAAACAATAGCTGATAAATAAATGACAAACGACAGTTTTAAATAATTAGCGATTGTGATAACGCTATTCGTTACTATGCAGAAATATTATATTAGAGTTTATTACATTTCATTGCCTTGTTACTCGGAAACTAGACTGCGTAGGACGTATGTCCTCTACAACTTTTTTTTAGAAATCACTGAGGAACCACTACCTTTATTTTAAGAACATTAAGAGCCAACTTGTATATATACAGGCTGTTACAAATTCGGTTCCCACTACAGGGGTGTCAGAGACGGTAAGGGATACGAAGTAGCTTAAATTGAGGCAAAGTTGCGTAATCAGGAGACCAACATTATGCCTCTAAAAAATCAAGGCTAACATGATTAGTTTTCGAAATATTTGAAAAAAAAAAACGAAATTTTGGAAATCCCGTTTTGTTTCATTTCAGCCTTGTTTGAGGTGATATTGAAAAAAGAAGAACACTCTCTCATGGCCATTTTTTGCCCTATATCGAATGGCATAATTAATTTTTATATGTAACGTTTCGTCTCTCCAGGACCATCATCAACTTAATTTCTTTTAAATACGACCCTGGTAATTTTATTGCATTTTTCCAAGCCTTCATGACTCCCAATACAAAAATTCATCTTCAGTGTATTCGTTTCACTAATATACTACTTGGGAAATCTCTTAAAATGCGTAACCGAAGAGGATAGGTAAAATAACTTAATTATTACCGGCGTAGATTAATCTGTTCGCCGCCACCTAAGTTAAAAAGGGGC